TTTTTCAGACTATTATTATTAAATGATAATACAAGGTTAATGATTAATTTTATTCTGTAAAATCTCCATGAAAAATATGCAGCTTTTTCAGGTCTCAAATGTTCATTAGTTGGGTGTTTATTGGATGTGGTCTGTTTACAGCCGGTCCAGCGGTGTGGTCTACTCGGCCCTGCGGTCATGTACGGCACACGAAAGACCTGGGACGTCGGCCACACTCCCTGCCTGCAGGAGCTCTGGAACAAAGACCTCTCATTGGATGGTAAGCACGGTCACATGTGTGGACTACAAAACTGGTGTGGCAACATTCTTCTGAGGATAGTTTGAATGTTTGAGTGCATGTAGGAGGTTGGAGATACACAGAGTAGGTGTGTGTTTGTGTGTGAGAGAGCTCAGTCATCGAGGAGAGAGCAAGGGATGTGTTCTTACCCACTGACAAGGAGCAATGCAGTCAGGCGTTTTCGGACCAAACGGAGAACACTATGCGTTCTATCCAGGTAAAGAAGGGTGAATCTCCTTAGAGACGAGAGCAGGGCTTGAACACGAGGACTATTGGTTGTGCCAGGGAAAATATGTACGTGTGCTTAATGCGCTCTGTGCTGCACAGGATAATATAACAACAGGCACAGCGATTGTGTGAGAAACAAAGGACAAAAAGGACTAAAACGGGAAGCAAACAAAGAGGAATATCAGGGAAATGTCTAGCAGCTGGTTTTTGCAGTGATGCAGTGACAGGTTTGCTTTCAGCCTGATGCTCTTCTACGAAAGCAGCTCTACTGCTGTGTCATCGTAAACCGCACCGGCGAGAGGCTGCACGTCTCATCCGTGAGTGTGACAGAGAGCTGTTTGACAAACAAAACGGTAATTGTTGTTTTTTTGATAAGGTTCAGGGCTGCATTGAAATCCAGGTTAATGCATCACTCGCAGCTGGCTGTTATCTTATCATTAGTCAATGGTTTCTATTATGCCTTTACCAGATTGATGTGTTCTCTGCATAGTCAGCTATTAAGGTTTGCTTTACCCAAAACTTAATATTCTGACATAGGGCTGGGTATCGATTCAGATTTTCCAATTCGATTCGATTTCGATTTTCGATTCGATTTTTGATTTCAATTCTCGATTCTATTTGACTATATGAATGAATATAGATTTAATACAAATCCTATATTTATAAAAAATGAACAGTGAACATAAGATTACAAATGGTTAATTCATAGGCAATTAAGAGCCACAAACCTGTATATTAAACACTTTTTATGTTAGGTACACTTGGGTACAATAAAACAAAACCCAACTCTATATTTCAAATGCATACAATGAATAGACAGAATTTTGATGCAAGATGAAAAACTGATGCTGAAAATTGGACAAGTCAGAACAGTCGCATGCCTTGATCAAACAGGATCAGGTTATTTTATGTTTAAGACAAAACAAACATAAAATCTCACAGTAACATGGAGGCTGCAAGCCTATGAACGGTGTAGGAAAACTAATACTGGCTTTTGGGTGATAGTTCACCCAAAAATAAAAATTCTGTCATGGTGGAATGACCTGCCCAGCTCAATCCAAGCAGCTGAGTCCTTAATATTTTCAAGAAACGGCTGAAAACACATCTTTCATATTCATTTGACCCTCTAACTCTAGCACTCTCTATTCTAATGCTGCTACTAATTTTATCTGCTTGTTTTTTTTAATTAAAAAACTTGATCTTCTAACATTTGCACTCTCTATTCTATTTCTATTCTAACTACTTGTTTTATTTATAAAGAAAAAAGAGCCTCTAACACTAGCATTCTCTATTCTTTCTCTGTTCTTTAATAAGTATCGGTTCAGGAACCGTTTAGGCACCGGAACCATTTTAAAAGTATCGATTTGGCACCGGTATCGGAAAAAACCCAAACGATACCCAACCCTACTGACGAGATGCGCTTGACAATCGCATGCGATTAATTGCACAGCCCTAATCCGGGCCAGTATTATTTGTATACCATTATAGTATTTATTAATATTTTGAATTAGCTTTTATTTTTAGTTTAGTAACATTTTAGTAATTTTGTGCTTTTGTCATTTTTGCTGTTTTTTTTTTTGTTACTATTTGTTTCATTTGTATTGTTTTACTTAAGTTTTTTTTGTTTGTTTTTTTTTAGTGCTTCAACTTTCTAGTTTAGTTCAAGTCCATTTTTATTTAATTTAATAATATTAATAATTGACCATATTTTTTTTTATCTTTTTTGTAGTTTCTGCAAGTTCCCTAGATATCCTGATGAGTAATGGTGAGGAGGAGAGCTCCTTCCTCTCGTTGCCCAAATCTGTCCTTCAGCGCCACTGTTTGACCTCTGACCTCTCTGAAACGGCCACCTCAGAACAGCAGCAGCTGCTCATACAGGTATGACCCTATAATACTATTCTAGTATTAACCTGGGCAATTAATATTACAAGTTGTCCTCACTAAGGCAAGCATCACCGTTACAACTGCTTATAACTGGGTTTAGGGATTTTCTGCAACACATTATTTTCAGTTTCTGTGTAGTAGAATATTTACACTACCATTCAAAAGATGGAGTAAGATGAATAAATTATACTTTTATTTAGCAAGTATGCATTAATATGATCAAAAGTGAAAGTAAAGACATTTATAATGTTATAAAATATTTTTATCTTCCAAATAAATGCCTTTTTTTTAACTTTCTATTCGTCAAAGAATCCTGAAAAATGCATCCACACTGAAGACTGAAAATTCAGCTTTGCCATCACAGGAATAAATTATTTTTTTAAATATATTAAAATAGAAAGCCGTTATTTAGGTATAAAAATATTTCACAATATTACTATTTGTACTGTATTTATGATCAAATAGGCCTAAAATGTAGCCTTGGACATTTATAATGTTATAAAATATTTTTTTCTTCCAAATAAATGCCTTTTTTTTTACTTTCTATTCGTCAAAGAATCCTGAAAAATGCATCCACACTGAAGACTGAAAATTCAGCTTTGCCATCACAGGAATCAATTATTTTTTTAAATATATTAAAATAGAAAGCCGTTATTTAGGTATAAAAATATTTCACAATATTACTATTTGTACTGTATTTATGATCAAATAGGCCTAAAATGTAGCCTTGGTGAGCATAAGAGACTCCTTTCAGAAACAGTAAAACGTCCTACCAATCCAAACTTTCAAATTATACTATATTCATATACATTAAACTCAACCGTCAGTGTTTCTGTGAGACAGTGTTGTGACTGAATCAGTCTTCACCAGATCACTACATTCAGGAGCTGGTTACTGTGTGACTGGTCTGTTCTGTAGCTGTGTGATCGTTGCGTAATTGGTTTCACAGGGTTAATAAGTCACAGCTAACAGGCAGCGCTGCCTCTTTGTTCTGTTTAAACAATGTTATCAGCTTTAGGGTTTCTCAGAGGAGCTGGTTGCTCAGGCTCTCTGTAAATGACCTCGGGGTTCCATGTGTTTCAGTGTAAGAGTCCCTCAAAGCAACATCTGCAGGCAAATCACATTTCCGGTGGCTTATTAGATGGGCTGCTATTTGCTCATCCAACAATCTTGTTTATTAGTCTGTATCAAATCTAAAAACACCTTCTATTTTTATGCTTAAGTTTAAAATAATAGAGAATTGAATGTTCGCTAAAGTGGACCACTGATTGGCAATTAAAGCTAAACGTTGTTTACAGGTTCTGAAGATAATGTGGGGGGTGTTTGACCACAATGACGCTATGTTTGGGAGTTGGTGCCAGTGTGTTGCTGTGTGGTTGTTTATTGGTGGCTTGGAAGTAAAATAAGTTCCCAAGTCTTTGCTCTCTTGGGTTGAGTTGCACCTTCCGTTCATAAGTTCTTTCTTAAACTGGAATATGAAGTCCACACTGGAAACTTAGTGTTTACTAGCTAGGTTCTAACTAATTCTGGACTTTATTCGGTTGCATTTCGAGTTGTTCTTAAGGCAGAATGTAGCTAGTGGGTCGTAAAGTAATGCATAGTTGCATATGACATGTACCCTTAATAATCCAATAGCAGCTTTCAAATATGTGAGCAAAAGTTGTATTAATGCTGTGAATTTCAATCTAAATTGTATGTTTCCATTGAGATACTATGAAATATTCCATAGATAACTTAAGTATTTTTTTATGCAAGTAAAATTCTGAAACTGAATTTGACGTTAAGGATCAATAAAGTCACTGCTTAGATTGGGTTCACTTTGAAGAGTCACTAACAGTCATTTATTAACAAGTGTAAACATTATCATATACTATATGTGTGAAAAATTGAAGTTTGTGAAGTGAAACATGAGTTTGTTTTATTCCAACCATTACTCCTGGTCAGAGGCTTGTGTAAATGCATTAGTTGTAACTTAGTGCTCCTTTACGTCAAAACTAGGCTAAGTTGCGCACAGCTGGTGAAACCGGCCCCTGGTCCCTAGATATGACTGGAGTTACATAACATGATCCACTGTTAGTGAAGCATTTGGAGAGCAGTCCTTCTCTCTTTGATCTCCAAGGGTGGATAAACATCTCTAAAACAGACAATCTGGAGTGAGATTTGAGTGTGCTGCTGGAGTTTTCAGTCTTTTCACCATACCATGAGCACAGGAGAGATCCGATTGGCTGGAGATCACATGTGTGGTGTGTCCTCATCTCTGCTTTTCAATGCATTGATGACTCTTCTCAATACAAACAATAGTTTAGACATGGACTAGCTTTGTGTATGTGCTTCTCTAGATCTATCTGTGTTGACTAGGCAGTGTTACCTGTGAAGGTGCAATGATTTCCAGTCTAATGAATCACTGAAATACAGGATTTTAACTAAGACATCAAATCTTCAAATATAACTTCATCTCAGTGAGTTGGCATGTGCACATTTTTCTGATATTCGAGGTTGAGTTATTTAGTTTGATTTGCTGTTTCAGAATTTGTCCATATTTGACACACCACTGATCTTTTTGTTTTCATGCTTTTCTACTCTCCTTTTTCCCTCTCGTTCTTCATTTGTGTGTCTCTGTGCTGCCTTCTCACCATTTCACCTGTACAGAAGGTTACTTTGTCCTGTTCCTGGACGTCTGCCTACGTAATTCCCTCTGATTCTTTCTTTGTGCTTAGCTGTGAGCTACTTTGCGTCGTTCTGACGTCAGCTTTACAAAGCACACTGTACTGCAGTATAGTCTCTTATGTTCATAGATCCACCCTGTTTGCTTAAATGTCTCTATTAGAGGTTTTGTAGTCATCTTGGTATCCAAGGTAGTTTGTGCCAGTAGGAATAGTCACTTGCCCATCAAGCTTTCTTGTGAAGTTAAAGGAATAGTTTAATTTTGTCTTCATTTACTCTCATTCCAAACTTGTATGATTTTCTTTTATTCTGTTGATCACACATTTTTGTAGATGTCCTGGCTGTTCTTTCTGTTACTGCAAAATCATAAAGTGACACAAAAAGGAGTAAATGATGCTTTTTATTTTGTTTTTGTTGTTTTATTAATATTTTATTTTGCATGAACACTTCTTCTAAAGAAAAAAAGAAAAATCTACCTATGTGTGACCTACTCCTTTCCTCTTTAAAAGTTTAGAGTTTTTCCCTCATAGTTCAGGTTGTGTAAGGTTCTTTAGCACGGCTGGCATTCATGGTTCCTTGTGTGTTTGTGCAGACACTGCAAGAGAGAGTTTGTGAGTTCCAGGCACGTTTGAGCAGCGAAGACGCCGCAAAAAGACTCCTGCTACAGCGACTGCAGACACACGACCACCAGCTCAACCAAGACAACCACCAGAACGAGGAACATTTGTCCATTAATCAAGAACCTCAAGAGCAGCTCAGACTGCAGGACGGCCAGCTCATCCAAGCTGCGTCACCTACAGGTGAGAGAGAGTAAATATTTTTAAATATATTTTATTTTTAATATTATTAAATATTTTATATATAATTTTTTTTTTTTTTATTATCATTATTATTATTGTTATTATTATTGGTTACACTTTATTTTACGGTGTCCTTGTTACATGCACCGATCGATCGGCCAGGGATCGGAATCGGCCGATTTTCCTCATGATCGGCCCGGATCGGTGATCAGTCG